TTTTTTTTATTGTAAATAGAGTGTGAGTGTGCTTTCTCTGATCACTATTATAAATTTCCTTGATGTGACAGAATGTAATATTTCTAAATAAACAAATATAAAAAAAAAAATCAGTTTCATTTTGATTGGAATCTTTATTTTAAAATTTATTTTCAGTTTTATCGGAAATGTTTTCCTTGCAACTCTTGAAGTAAAGGTTTCACTTGTACTTTATTAAAAATAAAAGTACTGTAAAAACAGAACTTATGTTCTAGAAAAAATATATATATATATTTATTTAAAGATTCATTGATTTTGCTAAAAATTCTATTAAAAAAGTGACATTTATTCATAGCTACTCAAACAAAGACATATTAGAATCATGTATAATTCATTTAAGACAAATTATAACTCGAATCTAAGCCCAATTACAGTCCATTTCTCATTTAACGTATCTTTCTAAAGATGTTAAATTTTTAGCATTAATCTAGAGCTTTACTTCAAAAAAGTTATTTATAACCTTTATTTTAAGAACTTTTAAACTAAAAAGTTTTATTGAAAATGTTGAAATAGAGCTTTAAAAAGTTTCATCTGGTTAAAGTCCAGAACTTAAAAATTATACCTAGATGGTCCAATGTACGTGTTGTCCAATGCCATCTATTTATTTTACTCAGGTATCCTTTTTTTCTTATTATGACTATCAAAAGGTTTCTCATATACATTTTATTTCCATACAACAAATCATAGACTTTGAAAATAGGTTATAAATGCAACCATTAAAAGTGGCGAGGAAGCTATACTGGAGGCTTTTAGTGTTGCCCAAATGCGAGACCGAGACGAGCCTTGGTCTTGCAAACTCAGTCTTGGTCATGGTCATGGTCATGGTCTTGCGCAAGAGTTTTGCAACAGCCTTGCAGTTACCCACTAGCTTATTAATATAGAAATATTACTATAATTTCTTAGATAGGAGAAACCTAACTAAGCACGAATTAAAAATTAGAGTTAAATGCAAAGGTATATTGCTAATACAAATTATTACCATATAGTAACTAAGATTGTCAAGTATTAGTAACTATTTTGCCTTAATTTTTATTTTTTTTTAAATAGTTTTTTTACCAGTCCTGGTCTTGGTCTTGCAACAGTTAGGCGGCCTTGGTCTTGGTTTTGCAAAGTGTAAGACCAAGACCGATTTTGGGCAACACTAGAGGCTTTATTCAGAAAACTCAAGTCAGAAGGATTTTTTTAAACTTTGTTTTTCACCCACTTCTGTCAGAAGTACAGACAATTAAGGAGTCTGGTGTCGGGAACAATACTGTTAGTGCCTTGATAGGCACGAGAGGAGTGGCCAGCGGCATCTCTTTCTGGTTTGATTTAAAAACATTTTTAAGAGAGTAAATCCCTCATCCAGCTTCTTTTGAGCCAAGTAAGCGTGTTTTCGAGCACTTTAATCGTGGCCATGTCTTGGAATAGCGTGGAAGTATATCCATGTAAGTTATCCTGAAATTGTTTGTAGTGTGGTCGTATACGGTTTTAACCGTTGGCATGTTCAGATCTTTATGTAGAATGTTTGTAACATAACGTGGAGGTTTGATTATAGTCCCGAAAGTTTTGTAGTTTTCGAATGTGGTTTGTTTTGACTGTTCCGTGTATTTGTGAAGCGCAGGTCCATATATGCCTTAATAGATAAATTTAAGTGTTCAGTTTCTGAATTAAATTAATTTTGAGCGCCTTGAAAGAAGTGAGGATAATAGTCGTAGTTTGGATTTTATTAAATAATTAATATAGAAGCTTGCACAAAAGAAGTTTGATCTACACATGAGATAATTCGATAAATTAAAGCTATTTAAGAAAATTATCATTCAAAGCAAGGTCATAATTTATGCTTACAATTAGAGCGATAAACAACTAGATGTTGTTTTTTTCATGACTTATAAATGCAGATTAGTTATTTTCAAACATAAATTATTTTAAAATAAAAAAAGATAACATCAGTTATACTGCATTATAATTCTGCATTCTTGATTACAGTCGAGTTCAAGGCGAGCAACTGTGGAAGATTTCAGCAAGTCTTGAGATCAGGCTCAAATGTGCTTTGGATCCTTGGAAAGGATAAGGTTCTTTCAGCTGATTTTTGCTCGTAACCTCATTTCAAAAGTACTCTCAATGATTACTCACTGTTGATAGTAAATTAGAACTTTTTATTGGTATTTTAATACATAAATATTATTATATATTCATAAAAATATATCTACTAAATATAACTATTATTGTTTTATTATCAGCAAACATTTAAATAAATAAAATTGAGCCCGTATATATTCGTTTAGGAAAAGATAAAGATAATTTAGTGAGATTAAATATAGATAACAGACAAATAAAGGTTGTGAAAAAAAGGTTAGATGAAACAATCCTTGATTTCATTTATTTTTTAGGGGAGGGGAGGGAGAAAGATAATTTGTATAAATAAATTTAGAAGTATTACTTTACAGGTGTTGCTTCACTTTGATGCGTGATGATCATGCATGCTATTTATGGATGATGCTTCCGCTTACGCTCGCGCAAACGCATTTTTGTAGATATGACAATATTTCAGAAACTACTCGTTCGATTTGGCTCAAATTCGGTTAAAAGGTCGGTATTTGTGAAAAAATAATGGAGGGTCAATTTTATTGAATTCTGTCCATTGCTTTCTCTTATATATGCGCAAACATCTTTTCCTTGGTACGTCTATATCTCTAAAGTTAGAGCAAGTTCGCTTTGGTTCAAATTTGGAATGAAATTTTATCAAATTCTATCTACTACTCCAAAAAAAAAAAAAAAAAAAAAAAAACTTCTGCCTTTAGATCAGGAAATGTGTTATTTGATTTGGTATGCCTATAGTTTGAAAACGGGGCATTCGATTTGATTCAAACTTAGAGAACTTTGGAGAACAGTATAGAAATTACTTAGTATTAATTTCATTGAATTCCATATAATAATTCAAATTAATATAAATAATTGTTAACAATATAATGGCTGTGAAATGTTGAAGGCACTGATCATATGGCGTGGAAGTTAGGTTTTTACAATATTGTTATGGGGTTATAAAATTTTAGGTTTTATTAAAAAAATTATTTGATACTGTATTGTTTGGTCGATTTCAAACATTACTGGCATGAAACTTTTCAAAAATTTTCTTAAAAAATATTTTCAACTTTTATTCTATTTGTGCTAACGGTGACATTTTCTAGCCTGCAACTGATATAAGCAGTGGATAGAAAGTGGCAGAGGACAATAAAATATGAAATGATACCAATAAAGCATAAATAAATAATTTTTTACATACGATCTTTTGCACTATCAGTAGTGAAATGCATGTTCAGTATGCATTGTTTTTTTTTTTTTGTTTTTTTTGGTTTTTAGAATAATCAAAATGGAATCTTCAAATATGGAACTCTTTCGCATGTTAGAAATTAGCTGAAAACGAAATTCGTGGATATCAAACCCGCGAATGTTAAAGAGTAACTGTATTTCCGAATCGGCCTCTCCCATTGATTTTATTCTCATACAAAAAATTGTATACCTTGTAATATAGATATATTTTAGCTAATCAAACGGTGAGAAAGCTATACTGACCTTACTTGGCAGACTTTTTTTTTTTAGATTTGGAAAGATAATTTTATAGTAGACAAAAACACATGTACCAATACCATTATTACTACAAATATATATACAGGTAGCACAGAAGAACAAATATATATATATATATATATATATATATATATATATATATATATATATATATATATATATATATTATTTTTTATTTATACGATGTACGTGAAATATTTCTACAAATTTGGAATACTATGATTTCTTTATTATTAATGATAATATTAAAACGATTTTTTGTTTCGTTTTACATCATGAAATGAAATGAAAATAGCCTTTATTTATGCACAAATATTACAATTTCTATGAAAATATACAATTTCAAAAGCAAACAAAACAAAATAAAACAATTTTTTTTTTACATTATTATAATTTATACAAAACTTTTTACTATCTTGCATAGGCCTTCCCTTAGCTATCTTTAAATCTTCCCTGGGTGACTAGCCCTACTGGGAAGCAGGATTTCTGTCCTTTAACCATTTTTCTATCCACACATCTCTGTCCCTAGCTGCTCTCCACCAGAGAGATCCTGCCAGAAGCCTAAATGGATCTCTCCATCTCTTATATCATAAGATTGAATAAATAATAGAAATTAACAACTATTTTTAAACATATTTTTCTTGCATAGTAAATTACAGACTAATGAATCAAAAGATACAGAATATTTAAATTGCCTATATCTACTAAATATTTTTTTATAAAATAATCTCTTATATATATTACAGGTCGGAATAAGTTATTCAGCAAATACTTTTTCATCTAAAAGTCCATATATTTTCATTTTAGGTCGACTGTGTATTTTATAATCGAACATAGCAAGCAAAAATGGAAAGTTGAATAAAATTACAATTAATTAAATAAAGCAAGAGGATTTCTTAAAAATGAAATTGATTAATAATTGTCTAAGACAGGAAATACAATATTATTATTCCATTAAAATATAAATTTACGGTTTCACATATATTTGATGCCGACTCTTAGTGTTAAAAGATGGGTAACTGAGGCATCAATAAGATGATTATTATCGAATATTTAATATATTCTGGTTTAAAGTGGATTAGAAACAATCATTGAATGAGGAAAGTACATATTCCTGAGTTTCGATAGTATTTATCGATGCATATAGTCATTTAGCGCTTTAAAATAACTCTAAACTATATTATATATATCAAAACAAATAATACCAAGTTCACAATCCAATGACTTCACACACTGGAACTTTTATCAATGTACTTAGTAATTTAATTTTGTTAAATTTTACTAAATGACTTTTCGTAATAAACCGACGGCATATTTGATAGAAAAATATTGTAAATTTTATTTTATTTCCCCCTCTCTGGAGTCTAGAGTCTAGTCTAGTCTAGTCTAGTCTAGTCTAGAGCTAGTTTCCTGAATGTTCCTTGGATGCCATAAGTGTCTTTTACATCCGGCGGTCTCTTCTTCTCATCGACTATTTGCTTCGATGTTCGCTCAAACCAACTTCTTTTGCTCTCCATCACAGCACCCCATTCCTCTGAAATGAAAGAAAAACAATTTACTCGTGCTTCGTCATAGGTTACGTCTTTGACCAGTCCATCAGCATCCTATAGAAAGCTTCTTTTCTATTATTTATTATTACTCCATTAGACAATTATTTCTATGAAATTACACATATAAAGGAGAGGTCAGGCAATTAGCTGTAATAAGATTTCCAAAGAAGAAGTAGGTATGTATCCCTTCTAGCCACCGCGAAGTAATGCTTGACAGTAGCTCCGTGGAGTGGTAAAGAAGAATTGGGAGGTGTTTTTTTAGTGAGTATGAATCTCACACTGTTGTATGACTTTTTCTTGGTTGCACACACAAAAAAAAAAAAAAAAAAAAAAAAAAAAAAAAAAAAAAAAAAAAAATATATATATATATATATATATATATATATATATATATATATATATATACATAAATTATATTATTTTATCTATAATTAATTTGTACTAAAAGATTATAGTGGTAACTAATATTTCATATGTACTCACATAACTTTTAAACTGAAAAAATATTTCCAAGAGAAAATGAAAAATTAATATTTTATTATTTTGCTTTGAATTCATCTGGTCGACTATATGTCGAGTTCAATTTCAATACCATCAAAAATACCTTAGAGAAAATTTGAGCAATATATTGCAATTTCCGAGTCGTTTTCCAAGAAACCTTACGCTCGCTACAGTGTCCGCCGGTTCGAATTCGGCCTGGGCGGGTTAAAATTTATTTCGTAGGGGATCCATAGAATAGATCTCCACCTTCCCACTCTGGTTGGAATAGTTTGGTGGGATCTCTTAGATTATTATTCCTCCGTATGCCATAAGTGGCGAGGAAATGGGTAATCTAGTAAAAGAGAGAAATACTCTTATTAAAAGTAATGCTGCCCTACTACATAGGGTTGCTTCGTACACAGCATACCTATCAATCCACAAGGACATTAACTTTATATTTCATTTTTCTATTTTATATATATATGACATATCTTTCCTTTCTTTCTCTTTTTTTCATCTTCTCCCTCATAACAATACACTTACAAGTTATCAACAATAAAACCATATTAAATAATATACATAGCACTATAAACATTTTTCCAAGACAAAAAAAAAAAAAAAATATTTCCCTGTTTCTCTCTTTAAATTCTAAAACGCCAGGAACTCATTACAACTCGCACACATACATAACACACCAATTCTCAGAATGTAGACAAAAAGACAGGACGACAGCGGATCAATTCAAAATTGAATAAACAATTATTACCAGATGTCCTCAATCGGTATAAATATGATAGTGGATGATCCCCAAGGAGTCCAAAATAATATTTTCGGCCAATACCGCGAGCTCCCCAACATCAACACCTAGTTCCTGGATAAAGCTCCTTGTTCTTTCCGGGATCGTTCCGCGAGACCCAAACCAGAGGCCTCTCACGGTGAACTCTCTCTCTCCGAAGGTCTCGTGGAATTTCTCTTTTAGGAAAGGGATGCATTTGTCGTATATATTCCTCTTTTCCCTTTCCACCCGCCTGATCGAGGTCATTGCTCTCAAAGAGGACAGTTGGATCCAAGATTAGCGCTGTCCCTCCTGTCCTGGGAAACGCGACAATATCCGCATATCTTGTAGAGCCTTCACTGTCTATTCAATAGACCTTGTCAAAGCAGGTGAATTCCTTTTCTCTAAGGAGCCTCATCACCTCGAACTTTAACAAAAAAAAAAACCTTGGTATCTACAATTGACATGCAACTGAATATGAGGGGTAGACTAAAAAGCCGTTGGATGAGAGAAATTCTTCTTTAAACAAATAAAGTGATTAAATCCCAAGCCTTACATGCCATTATTTCCTGTATAGTCAGCTTGTTTGCTGATTGTCTACGTAAACTTTATAGATGCATATAAATGAATAAAAAAAATATATGTATGACACATTAAAAAAAAAACTGTTGGGAAACCAAGTTCAAATCATGCATATTACACTACGTTATCTGGAACACAAAAAAATATCTCAAGCTGGATAATGTGGAAAGATTAGATAGGTACTAGAGGAAACGTTTAAAATAACTACACATTTTGTGTTAGTATTTTCATATTACAATGAAAGGTCGAAGTACTTTGTAATTTTTTTTTATCTAAATAATTCATTAGTCATTATTAAATGATAAAAACAAATTACAACTTCTTCAATCAGTTTTGTAGACATCGTGTACAGATTATGGGGTCATTGCTTTCGCCTTCCTTGAGACCGTTATCGTAAACCTGGCTCATTGTTTCGCGCCATTGTACCTGATGGAATAGATACCTTGATCTTCCTAACGGGACTAGGTTTCTTCTTGTGTGCTTCGGAACTACTTGACACGAAGGATCAAAGAAAAAAAATATATATATGGCATTGGCAAAAAAAAACAGTAGCAATCAGTTATTGACATTTAATTAACTTTTTTTAAAATTAATAATTTATTTCAAAATTTTAATTATCACAAAAAACATCAGATAGCTTAGTTAAGGGAATACATTACCAGCCAACTCTTCGGAGGATTTAGTTCCTTTACCGCCGTAATCGGATGGAATTATATCTATTGGTAGATATTTCTGCACACAGTCCCTGTCCTCAGATGTTAATTTTAACTGTAAAATAATTAAAGATAATGATGAATATTAATTAATGATTCTAAAATAAGTAAAACAATTATATATATATATATATATATATATATATATATATATGTATGTGTGTGTGTGTGTGTGTGTGTGTGTGTGTGTGTGTGTGTGTGTGTGTGTGTGTGTGATGTCCGGTAAATAGAAGGAAATTTTTATATGAGTGATAGCAGACTTCTTCTTCTTCATCCTCCTTGTGTGCCTTACAGCGTGGAGGAGCCTCCAGCCACTTCGACCTGCATCTTACCAATTCCTTCATCTGACCTAGGGCTTTCCCTCTTTCCTCACCTAGTCACTGGATATGTTCCAGATATATCCTTCTAGGCCTGCCCCGTGGCCTCCTGCCAGTTGGCCCCGCTTCCATGCGTTTCCTTGTTACTCTGCTTTCTTCCATTCTACACATGTGCCCATACCGTCGATGTTGCCGGCATTCCATAGTTGCCGGCATGCTATCAGTGAGGGTATTAGGAGTTCCTCTCTTATTCTTTCATTCCTGACCCTATGTCTCCTGGTTTCCCCCAAAATCCTTACATTCATTTCAGCAGCCGTGATCCTGCGTAAGTGCTTGTCTTGGCTGATGTAGGATAGACTGATTAATAGATGTGGGGTATGACATCTTTTCCACAATTGTGTTGCAAATCTTGTAATATATACTGTTGATAGCAAACCTCAAGAGCTACAAAAGAATGTTGTTGTTTTTGAGGGAATCGTGGTTATTTAATAGGAAGCTATAACTGATGAAATATTTAATTTATGTAATTAACAATTTCTTCACTCCAAACTAGACAAAATTTACTTCAAATGAAGTAATGAAAATGAATTTTAGAACCGTTTAGTGAGGACATTTAAGTGGCTAAACTATGTTTTAAAGAAAAATGTAAATCATTCGGGTTTTTTTTTATTTTTTTTTATCATCATTGAACTATGCTATATATACCTCCTTTTGGAAAAAAAAAAAACTATTTTAACTAGCTGTTATGGGTAAGTCCATATTAATCAAATAAACTTTTATTTTGGGAAAAAATGATTACATTTAATTGTTGCAAAGCTTTAAATTCATGTTTTTTCCTGATCTTGTATTATAATAAACATAATTGCCTAAATACACTTATTATTTATTAACCATTTTAATATTTAATAATAATTTCATTTAATACCATAACCACTTTACCTAAAAAATGTTTGAAAACTCATTATTAAAATTCTTTTTTTATTAATGAAAAGTATATTTAGGCAATTATGTTTTTTTTAGACATATTTATTCACTACATAATTTTTTCACAAATATAGAGATGAATCTCAATTTTTTACTTAATAAACATCCTGTTAATTAATATGGACTTACAACTAATTAAACGACAATGTTCTCCGAAGATTGGAGGCTTTTGAGTATAGTTGGATGATGATTAAAAAAATCACGAATAATTCGTGATTTTTTAAAAGTAGAACATAGTTTAGTTTATCCCCTCAAAAGCCCTCTTTCAATGTTTTTAACAATTACAAACCCTATCCTTATTTGAAGTAAATATGTCTAGTATAGATTGAAGCAATCTTTGATTACTTAAATCAAACATTTCTTTAGTTATCGCTTCCTATTCAACAACCATGAATTGCTCAAAAAAACTTGAATTTCCTATATTCCTGCTAAAAATTGGCCAATTTTTTATATGAATCTTTTTTTAGCTCTTGAGGTTTGCTATCACTACTATAAAAAATTCCCTCTACTTACGGGACATTGTATATAAATAGTATTATTTCAGAATAATTATTAGCCTTCCAATAGTTCTTAAATTTTATATTCAAGTAGGGAAAAATACAAGTTTTAATAAGAGCAGATTTATAATCAAATAAATTAATTATTTTTAAAAATGATATAATCAAATTTAAAACAATAATAACACAACATGTCTTCTTTTATTGCAAAAAGTTAATTAATTGATGTTTGTTGAAGCTAAAAATTTAAGTAAATATTAGTTAATTAATCATACTTATCGATATAAATACTCCCCCTCTACCCTAGAGCGTCATTGGCAGTGATTCTTAATTTTTATATTCTGTGGTAATATTTTGTTTCAATTGAATATTGGAAGATAATGACGATATCTTCTGTAATAAGGGAGTTGCTTGGCCATGGGTTACCAATGACTGTCACGACGCTGGTCAACTGGAGAAGTTCGGAAAGCTCCTGTGCAGAACCTAAGAGCCGAATTGTGGATGGAATCTAGCATTTTTTAGTGAGTTCCCGTGGCCCGTTCTGTCTATTTGGGCTCCATAAACAATTTTACTCCCAATCACAGTATGGTATATTTTGATAAGTGTTAGTCTATCTGCTCCCCAACTTGAACGACCAATGCACTTAAGAAGCTCTAGTCTTTTAACGCATTCGGCTCTCAAATGTTTTATATGGTGGACCCGTGATAGCTTACTATCTATTATCATTCCCAAGTATTTAAATGTGTCGATATAATCGATTGTAGTGCCCACTAACACTATTTGTGGATTTAGTCGACATTTAGTTGTTTAATTGTTAATTTAGTGGTATGTAATATCGTGTTAAATTTGTACACAATCTTACATTTTAAGAAGCACACTTGAAAATCAATAAATGTCATTTAATATGATAATTCTGGGAAGTAGGAACACATTAGGATTTTTGATCTTGGATTTCCACTTGAATTTTACGTTTTAGACCTAAGGAACACTGTAGTCTGAGACGGACTTATTCACTGTCACTGTTAAAAAACTTTTCAGAGATATTATGGATTGCTATCTATGTCATCCACTTTAGTGCATTTTCTTAAACACACCAATATTTCAAAAACGTTTCGATCGATTTAGCTCAAAAAATGGAGAAAAGTTGGGGGTTAGTGAAAACATTATGAAATATCAATCGGAAAAAATGTGCGCAAACATGGGTTACATGATAGGGCTATACCTCGGAAACCTCACGTTCGAGCCGGCCTAAATTTGGATGAATGTTATGGATTGGTAGGTGGGAAATGTGATAGGCAGTGAAGGTATGGAAAGGAGAATTATACTTATACTATTGTTATTTACGGTTAAAATATTTTAAACTTCAACATATAGTCCAATGCTGGGGGCGGGGTGGCCGAATAGGCTAAAGCGTGTGTAACAGCACCGCTAGTTGCCTGGCAACCGGATAACAGAGATTTGAGATGATATAAAAAGTACGAGTTCGCGTCCCGGTGTCGGAGGGGATTTTAAATTCCCCGCCCTCACCCCCCGGCCCGGGAAAATCCCGTATAGCCTAAAAGGTGAGGTAGGGAAGAACAAAAAAAAAAAAAAAAAATATAGTCCAATGCGTATGATGGGCGTATCACCTAGAGTCATTAATCCGTTTATAAAAAAAAAAAAAATCAGTGATTGTAAGTGTTGATATTTAGATAGTCCGATATGGATTTCATCAAGTTTCTTCAACTTCTTTCACTTATCTGTTACTTATTCGTTGGTGAGACAATGCTTCAACAGTTTCTCCCGTACATTTTATTCCAAACAACAAATACCAACCACAATTCTTTAAACTCTTTTGAATCCATCTCAGGATATCTTTGTTGACTCAAAGGCGTTTCTTGATAGATTGTTCCAAGCAACATGTACTTATATAGATAAGTAGCCATTTAATCAGTAAAAATATTGCGAAATTATCTTAATTTTACTTGGCAGAACTCAAGTCAGGAGGTATTTATTAAGAAATGAATATAAAATCATGCAGTTTGATCTACACCTGAGAGATAAGTCAGTAGATTAAACCGATTTAAGCAAATTATTATGACCTTCAAAGCAAGGTCTTAATGCGCACCTTCATGATAAACGACTAGTCGTTGTTTTTTGTAGGATTCGTTTTAATTATAACTGCTACTGAAAACTGTTACATTTTTATTTAATTTAGCTTTTGTGGTTGAAATTATTCTGTTAAGGAGGGTTTTAATTAAGCACTATACTATTGCATAAAATATGTGAGAAGAAATTGTAACATACCCTTGCAAAAAGTTTTGGTTTCAAAAATGGTTTTAGTAGCCAATCCAAAGCCTTCTCCAGAAACGGCGGTGTATTTACGATCAGAACCCCCTTCATTTTCACTGGAACGGAACCCTGTAATAGACCAGTAAAAGCATCATAGTTTGCTAATTAATGAGTATAAGTTATATTAATTATAAATTATTAGGAAGAGGTACTTGAAAATAAATAGTTTGTAGGTTTTGTCAAGGTGGTTGCCGAGACAGTGATTTGATTCAACATGCTTTCTTTAAAGTCTTAGGCCTATTTTTCGGAGTTGAGCTATGGGGCTCCACTAAACCATCGAATTCCTCTCGCATCCAATCCTTACAATCCAAAATCCTTCGTAAAATCCTCAATGCTCCTTACTTTGTCACTAATAAAATTATCCATAAAGATCTTAATGTTCCTTATGTTTCAGATCTGGCCCAATCCAGATACCTATCCTTCCATAATAAACTTCAGAATCATCCCAACCCTCTCGTTTCTAGCCTTGCTTCCTCTTCAATTCCTGATAACCCTCCGAGGCGTCTGAAAAGAAGATGGCCCCGTGATCTCCTAATATAGTCATATCATTAGAGTGCTACCATTGGGTAGTTACTCAGCAAGTGTATTCATGTCATTATATCAATTATGTCCAAATTTACTTGATGTATTTATGTAATACAGTTGTAAATGTCATAAAGAAATAAAAAAAATAAAAAAAAAGACCTATTTTTAAGAACTGTTTCCTAACCTTCTTCCGTAAAAGGTTAACTACATAATAAAATTGTACAATTACTTCATCCCGAGGCCGAATGAGTACTGGGGATAAAGCACTTTGGCCTTCTCAGTTCAATCCTAATTAAAATTTCCTTAATTATTTTAACCGGCGTGGATTATCTTAAATATCTCAAGTAAACATAATGCTTTTAAAATAAGCAGTTTTGAAAAAAAACAAGTTAATGAACAAAATATTTTTAAACTGTTGATAAAAATAACTGTTGATAAACTGTTGTGTTAAAAATAAAAATAATAATAATTTGATTAATGATAGTTTTTACCATCATACCTGGAACCATTCAAGACCTGATGCCAAAACAGTGGGACTTAATTTAGGCAGAACCGATGCGTCCATACCCTTTATATCATACGCAAGGTACAGTCCCTTCATATCTGGCCATTTTTGCATAGCCATCTCTATGAACATCAAGCTCTTGATGATCTCTTGTGAATGGAGAAAGCATTCATTGAAGGTAGGTGTAAGATTATGAAATAAGACTCTGTACCCTTCAGGAGTCGTTCCTTCCAGGAAGAACTTTCTCCTGAAAAAAAAGTATTTTTCCAGATTAGAAGTCTCTATAGTCAAATCAAATAAAAGTGTGCAAAAGTTTAAAAATAGTTAATGAGGATTCAGCAGCCGAATGTTTATTTATTTTTTTATTTTTAACGGCGAATGTTTATATTGCATGTTTATTTTTAGTGTCCCATATCGCATAGCAAAATTTGGTAAATTGACATAATAACGAAAACAATTGTTTTATATCTTAAAATTTATCTATAACATACATTAGTGAATAATTTACAACTACGAGGAATACAATGTATCTTCGGTTTATTGCAAAAAGTCATACGTGTGAATTTCGATAATATTTATTGATACAAAATATAATTGCATATAAAAATGAGATAAACCTGATTATATGTCAAACAGTTATAATTAGTACAGAATATATTGATTGCACGGAGTGAAACTTTACCAGATAACTTACTTAAAATTAATAAAATATAAATTAAAGGCATTTATCAATTAACGGAGAATACATATTACATCGAAAATACATATAACTGGCATAGGTCATGTAAAAAATTAATCTAATAGTAGAAAAAATAAAGAAATGAGTCGTTTATTTCCAAAGTGGATCCTAATCATTACTAATGATTTTTTCAGGAAATGTGTAACTATATTTTCTACTCCAATTGTGATATTAAAACCAATATTTTAAAGAAAATAAGTTAAAAAAATCTTTTTTTTTATGGAATGTATGAATAAAAATTATTGATTTTTCTAGTAGTAATTAAAAAGGATTGAATCTTGAATATGATTTCTTTTAGAAAAAATTAAACTTCAAGGCCCGTTTTTGAACAAAAAAAAAAAATTGATTAGGGTTGGTTTTATATAGCAAAATAGTGTATGATTCAGGGAGAAAGAAGATATACAAATATAACTATAAAAATTTAACTTTTGGTTTACTAAAATGGTACAAAAAATAAAATTATTTTTATTTTTCATTTGGATAAAACGGTTAATTTTTTTTTTTTTTTTTTAAGAACGGCAAGTTTAATAAGACTGAAAAAAAATGCCGATTTCGAAGATAAATTTATTTTCACAAGTCAATTTCGATAAAAGAAATTAGGGATCACTTTTGAAGTTTTCTTTCAAAATCATAAACAGCTTCAGTATATTAGATTGACCTAATAATTTTCGATTCTGAAATGTCATCTAATTGATAATAAAGCGAATGATGAAGTCGGAAAGGTGAATTATTTCACAGAAATAATCATAATAATAAATTTAAAAGAACTCAACTGAACAAATGGTATGTAAAATATTAGTAAAATTCATTTAATTATTTGGTTATTTCATTTTTATGTAACTTCATGAAATTTTTCTATAAACCTAGTATTACAAAAAAAAAAATTAAATATATGTAAACTAATAACTAAACTAAAATTTGTTGTAAATATAAAGCATACTGGTTCAGGGTCACTACCTTTTCTTAAGTCATACATATCATTATTTATCGTTACTAGAGATAGGCCACGATATGTTATGATAGCAAATCGCAGATTTACCAATCGGACATTCTTATCTAAAATTGTGATATTATAGGATTCTCCAAGAAAATTAATTTTGTTTTCTCAATTTTCACTATTCTCGGTATCTACTCATATTTCCTTCAGGAAGATCTTCAGACTATTACAATAGTCATCCAAATTTACATGTAAACTTGAAGCTCACCAGGTTTTATGTTACATTGCCTTTAAATGGAAGTGCAGTGTCTTGATTTAAATAAATGAGCATATTTTATTATTCGTTTTGTATGTATAATTAATTCATGAAGAATTAAACATCATAAATATTTAATACACACACAAAAAATGATAAATATTAATTTTAGAATAATTATAACTATTTATATCCGTACGTTGCGGAGTTGGCTTTCATGAAGGCGGGGTCTAAAGGATCCCTTACAGAGAACTCGAATAATTTTGGATGATTGGTGCGTATCGTAAAATATGAGTCCAACTTCTGCTTTGCAATTTCCAGAGATTTTGTTCCATAGATGAAGCAGCATAGGATTTCATTGTCTGAAGAAAAAAAATACGAATTAATGACATCAAATTAAATATTAAAAAAAAAAATAAACATACCTATATAAGAGGCCTGATATATCGTGTTCTGTAAAATCCGGATCGGACATTCTCTCCACTGCGGTAGAACAACCCCCTTCCCTCTCAAGAAAATGTATAGCTCCCATTTAAAAACAGTCCAAATTAAAGTAAAATTATAGAGAATAAATTAGTTAGTAAGTGGAAAGTTCTTCATTAAATAAAAACAAGAAGCTATTTCTGTGATAACACAGCAAATATTTTATTACTTCCCCGTTTTTTCTTGGAGCGATTCAATCGTTTATAGAAATTTCTTTAAGAAGCAATGAAACCAAAGGGCAATCTTCATAAAATTACTTTGAGATAAACAATGAAATCTGACCATTTTAAATAGATTTTTTTTTCTTTTTTTGTTTTACTTACCGCCTATAGTTCCCCATTTTCATTCCTCATCAGAGGGGAAGGGAGAGGAGGAGAGTTACAACTAAATCTATTCTTTCTGAGTTGGAAAGATTCATTCCGTGGATTCGAGCGAAAAAAAAAATGAACTCGTCTACGCCTTATTTGAATCGGCGTTTCTAGACTCTAGAATATTAAGTAGGGAAACGTACTAAAAATTCTCAAAACTAAACTGAATCACAGATAGATAAATGACCCTGTGTTACTTTACTATTATTCCAGATTAATGGTGATTGATAGAAAAAAAAAATTAAAATCTGTTAATAACAATCTTCACAAGATTTAGATACACAGAACCTACAATATAAGCATCTTTTCCCTGGAGGCTATTGTTGGAGCCTATGGAGGCGCTACGAGTCCCACAGAGGATATTAGCTCCGAAAATATGAGAGGTTTTGTACATCTCCATGTTTATGTAATTATAAACATTAGTGGAATGTTCTGATTTGTTTAACATGGTTAGGTCGCTTATATGGTTTTAATACATATTCTCTGGCTAATCCTCTTGTCTCCAACACCACAAACTGTGGGACTTTGGTGCCTTTTAGCTCTAGTTTTTATTTTTTCCCCTATCTGGGTATTCCCGGCAATCGGAGTTTTTTGACTCTAGCTATCCCTTTCGGTTTTAGAAACATCTCTCGCTTTCGCCGGACTTACTAATTAAGTCCAAATAAACCAACTTACGCCCATTTAAACGTAATAAAAAAACTATAACCATCTTGCAAAGTATATCAAAGTTTTGAGCTTCCGCAGATCTGGGTATCCATTTTAAAAAAGGTAAATTTAAAAATTGACATTCAATATAATAAAATATGTTGTCGATAAACTTTTTCCTCGGCACTAACGAAATATTCTGCAGCTATAAGGTTATCAGACGTTTGGTAAAAGGTTTTGTAAATTACGTATTGAGGACATTTGACATATAAAAACAATTAAAGTCTTGGTGAAAGAACCAAGAAAATCACGTTTATTTTTTTAAGCATTTTGCTCTATGGATAATATTGATATCAGTTCGATTAGTGGATAAACTGTGAAAAATCAGACCTCTCCATCGTGAAAAATATAGTAGAATAGACACCATTGAAACAAAAACCTGTTATGTCTGAACTTACCTTGCTTATGACACTAACACTAATAGATGTAAACTGCCTTTGAGGTCATCACAAGGTTAGTACTGGACTTAATGATTTATTCAAAGCTAAATAACCTGATGTCTTGTTTAGTGCCATTACATGATCCTTACAGTGAATTACAATAGAGATGTTAGTAAATCAAAGTTTTACTATTGAAAATCAATATTTTTCAAAGAGGAAATTTAATTTTCAATTTCTCAAAACAAGATCCAAAAAAAAAATATATATATGTATATATATATATATATATATATATATATATATATATATATATATATATGAAAAACTGTTAATTTGAAATCTATTTTCGGTAATGAAAACTTACAGATTTACAACAATTTGTTTATTTCTTGATTTACAGGTTAAGTCGGGAAAATTATTCCCATCTTCAAAACTTAAAATCTCATATTTTCATAGCGATTCGTGGCTAGAAAAGAGTTAATTAAGAAAATAATACATGTTAAAGTTGTGTTGTTGCATTAATTGTTATAATTAATCTCATATTTTCATAGCGATTCATGGCTAGAAAAGAGTTAATTAAAAAAATAATACATGTTAAAGTTGTGTTGTTGCATTAATTGTTATAATTACCTAAAGTCTAAAGTTCTCCTTTGTCATATTTTGAAATTTATGTTATACATAAAATAAAATACAGTTATACTATGCGGAGCATCAACATTCCTAAGACCAATAATTGGGTATTAATTTTAAATAACACTTAAGCATTTCAAAAGTAAAATCTTATATCCACCACAAATGCATTCCATTTCACTCTCTAACTCAAAATCATCTCAATCCATTCGTTCACTTCACTTTCTTCTACCTTTAACCTACGACTAAAAAATAAAATGACCTGCAGATCTGCTCCTTCATTACTAACTAGATTCAAGTCATTACCAAGCATACTGGGAGAAAATAATCAGTTACATCGAATTTGCTGGATACTCATGTTACAATGGAGTAGATTATTAAAATAAAATAAAATAGTAAACAAAATCAACTTTTTAATTTGTCAATAATACTTATATTTATATTTAATAATAAATATATTAGTAAGTACTCCATTGTGATAAGCAGTGTATATATATATTTCATAGTTGTAACTAAAGTGATTAAAAATTTAAGACTTAATAATATTTCATATTAATCCTGTTTCTCTTCTGTATTCACGTTATAAATTAAATAAATAAAATAAAGTAATCAAGGCCTTAAATATCAACCCTTTGCACTCAGTACCTTTCCGGACGTTACCAACCAGAGCAACTCGAGGCACATTGGTTCTGAACTGGAACCAAGATTTTGTATAATTTTCTAAACTAGATTATATAATTTTATATAATCCGTTGTTTTTCATCAGATTTCCTTGGTTCTTCGTTTTTTTTCGTCACTAATAAATATATTCTATTATCTATGCAATGAATTATGCAATATTTATTTATCAAAATAAATGTAGTTACGCTAGGTAGCGTTAGATATCTTATTATAAAATTGAATTGTATTCTTTTTCGAGCATAGAAATTCTTGTTTTAGCTCCTAAAGACATTGTATGTAAATAAAATATATTATAAGTTATGTTTTTTTTAATATGGACAAATTTGATTAATTTCAAATTTGGTACATTCAACTGAAAAAGTAATTTCTCAAAATCTGATAGATAATTTTACTTTTATAATATTGTAAATCTCAGAAAATTCCGTTAGAAATTCCTTTTTAAAAAAAACTTTTTTTTAAAATTCTTGTACATTCAACAAGATTCAAGATTTCGATATAAAATTCAGTATGGAATTATTATATCTTAGTTTATTTATCATAAACTTCATTTACCATGCATCTTAATATTTTTATCATATTTTGATCTGTTTTTGTATCATTTTAATAAGAAAACACAGGAAAATATGTGTTCCTTAAAAAATTTCGATGGAATAAGTTCATTCTTCGTAATCGCTAATAAACATTCATGTCCCCTTAGCGGGGACAACCGAGGACAAAGGGTTATAATCATTATAACTCTGTACAGCAACCTATTGCCGGGTCCGGGCCTCCTAAAGCAACCTCCCCCAATCGTCACGGTTTCGTGCAGCCGCTATGCAGTTATGTATGTTCCGAGCGTCTGCTGTGTTCCTCTGCATCTATGCTTTGGTCTTCTTGTTCCGTAGAGATGCTCCATCATTAGGTTCCTAGGCAAATCCTCTACATTTGGCTCTTTATATAAACCACAAACTTCCTGGTTTGTGCAAATCCTCAAGGATCCGTCCAACAACAGTCCTCCAAATATCATCCGAAGGATTTTCCGCTCGAACATAAGTAGGATCTGTTCATTACGTTCGGTCATTGTCCAAATTCCGTGCCGTGTATTAGCATTGGGTGAAATATAGTTTTGTATAGAAGTATTCAATTTGGCAGGAGAGAATGTTGCCGCTAAACTGTATTCTCTTCTGTATTAGGACTGATTAGCAGGAATCATCTTCCTTCTAAGTTCAGTATTTGCCCTGTTATCTTGTGTTAACATAGAGCGTAGGTAAATGAGTTCGGTGACTTGCTCAAATCGGTATTCATCGAATGTCACAATATCATTGGGTCCAGGCGTCTCTTCGGTCACCAGGTATTTTAGCCAAAAATCGATCTCATCGCAGGCAAAGATTTGATTGTAAATTACGAAAATGTATGTTATTCTGAGTAAAAAGAACCTTGTCTGCCGTTCCAGAGCCGCTGATTTCAAAAATTGAGGCTGACTTATAGAATATTAGGCCAGTAATTTGAGGATCGAAAAGGGAAATCCATTGCGAAAAATGTGAGAAAATTTTTTATTTTTTAACTTTTATGTATGGGCTTAGACATGCAAAAAACAAAATTGCTACTGCGGGTCACCAAGGGAATTTGTTTGCGTAGTATGGTATAGAACCACTCTTAAGAAACTCATTTCCAAGTTTTAGGGCCATTTATAGTAATTTATCTCAGTTTTTGACAAATTTGATAAAAAGTAGGTTGACCGTGGTTTTATACCTTACCACGTAACAAAATTATAAAGTTTATGTACTTGTTCGACGCAAAATTTAACATTCTTTAATTTATCAAAGAGTAAATTTTTCGCTTTGATACATCGTTTAGGCGTTGTAGGTGAAAAAAAAAATTGAAAAAATCTGACTTTTTTTGTTGTAAAAAGTTTTCTCTTGGTGGCTCGCGTCAGCAATATTGTATTTTAAATGTCTAAACCCATATGTACAAGTTAAACAAATAAAAATATTCTCAAATTTTTTGCAATGGCTTTCCCGTTTTGTTCCTCAAATTACTGACCTAATTTTCTTTAAATCTGCTGCCTTTTTTTAAAGCAGCGGCTCCGGAACAGAAGCCAAGGTTCTTTTTACTCAGAATAACATACACTTTCGTAATTTACAGTCAAACGTTCGCCTGCAATGAGGTCGATTTTTGGACCCTGGCTCCAGGGCTATTTGGTTTTCTCGTAGTTCACCTCGAGCCAAAGTTTTCTTACAGGGCCTACCAATGCTAGAAAAACTTCTCTGAGCCTGTTGAGAGCCCCCAATGATGTCGACAACTCCGCCAAAGCCAGTAGTTGCATATTCCGACTGAACATTGCCTGGCCAACCTGTATGCTCGATTATCGCACCGTCTACTCCACTACAATATTGCATAAGATGCACACGAGGGCGTCACTATGGGCGTATTGAACATAACACCTCAATCATAGTCAGCCTCACTATACGTATCTGAGGGATTTGAAACTCCTCCATAGCTATTAGAATATTAATATTTATATTGAAATTAGATGATTTATTTATTTACTTTTTTTTTCTCAATACAATAAATATAGAAAACTTAATTATACCAATGTCGTGGGGAAGATGCGGTTGCTTTATCAACCAATCTTTGAGCTTATCGATGTCATCTTCCAGAACTGCTAAGCTTCTCACGTCTTTCATCTTAATGATAAAGAGAACTGGGCATGTGTGTATCTAAAAGGAAGATTCCAATTAGTTGATAAAAATATGATACGTTTGAACATGTAAATTGTAACAAATAAAATATAAAATGGGATTACTTAGATAGGGATAAATTATAGTAAATAAGATGTACATCCTTGGAGTAGAACAGAGAGGTAAGGAAGGAAGGAAATGGACAGAAAAACGGAAAAAGAAAATGAACGAAAAAAATGATGAAAGTTAGGACTAAAAAATAAAAAAACAACTGAGAAATAATAATGAACACGTCGTCACACCATGGATATCAGCAAGTCGAATTGATTATATTCCGATTAGGTATCTATTAGTAACAACAACAACTCAATTCAACGAAAAAAGCTATAACTACCATAAACCTTACAATGCGTTTTACTAGTGAAAGGGTTATTAAGAGGGCAGAAAATTGTTGATACTAAAGAAGAAATATAAAAAAAGGAGTTATGAAAAATAAACTGTGAAAATAAACTTTCTAAGCATATAATTCATTTAGGGCTTATTTTTGAAAGAGTTTTTTTGTACACTTTTGTAAAATAATTAAACATATCAGACAGAAATCCTACTGACCAATAAAAATATTATTAGTTCCATAAGCGTTTAGATAAATAATGTAATATACAAAACGATAATGCGCCCAACTCTAATTCATGGCAGCCCATTGTCTTCATTTATTATAAATTGGAAAGAAAAATGACTATAATCGTTTCTAAATGGAATCATGCGGAGAATCGTGGAAGGAGCAGACAAGCAAATATTTGATGCATCAAGATTTCACGAGGAGTTAAAAATTCAAAAGTACAGAATTTCACTACTGACAGAAATGCCAATTTTAAGAATCGGTAAAAAATGACACAAATTCCTTATTCAATTGAATTTAACTTTCTCAGTCACATAAACGATGCCAAAAGTTGTTTTGACAATTATAATTTAGCTTCAATTGTTGTTTAAGTTCAACACGGAAAAATAATGAGCCCTACCGCCTAATAAGAAACCAGAAATAATGGAAATCAACAGACATTGTTATGCTAATAAGAAATTACTTAAAATGTAAACATGCAGATGAAGGAGAAATTTGAGACCTTTAAATATGTTAAAAAGTAAATAAGAGGCTACGAAAAAAAAATTATTTGTACTTCATGCATAGTAGAATGCATAGTCAAGTATTTTACCTATAAGAAAAGTATAGGACGTAGTGTAATATAATAAAGATAAGAAAAAGTATACTATTTCTTATCTTTATTATATTCAACAATGTCTTATGTTTTTCTTAAAGATAAAACACTTTTGAATATCATTCCTTACTATGAGTAACAAATAATTATATATATGTGTGTGTATGTACAATCCTTCCTCACAATCCATCACCAGTCGTGCCGATTAGGAGATTTAGGTTTCCACACTGTAATCATATTCTCTTAAGACCATTCTTTTTGTTCCGATTATATATCCAGGAATCGCTGTTATTTTTTTCATTTTTTTGCCATTTGATCATTACTCATTCGCCACACATGTTCTAATCAGCTGTTTCTCCTGGAATTCTTTCATCTTGCAATTTCTTGTAAAGTGTAGCATTGGAAACTAAATAATTGCGGATATTTGAAGTGGACGACTTAAATAACAATTTTATCGTTGTATCATTTAAGAAAATTTGATCCCCTTATTGTTGTTTAACCTTGAATACTTCCTTTATAATTCCTTTTAAATATTTTGATGATCAAATGTTTAGTTTACTATTCAAAAATCCTGTTTGTAATGGAAGCTCAAAATGTATATTTTCGATGAATTTACCTTTTTTATTTTCTTAAAGAAAAAAAACTTTTTTTAAAATGATAGATTGGTCGTAAGTGTCATGGCCGAAACTGAGGTTCTATATTCGTATCGTTCCGTCTTTGCTAGTTTGTTATGTGCTTATTATCTCAAATCCTGTTCTCAGACTTTGTAAACAGTGAGTTTATAAACAATTTAACATTTTTACATTACAATCAGTGAGGTGAGTGACTTTTATTAACAATTAGCAACATTAAATTGGTACTCGATTGCTAGAGACAGTTTACGTGGCAGATAATTCCCCTCAGCGGGTCTTATCTTTCAAATTCAAGGTCACGGCGCTTTATTTTACGTTCAGAATATCTTGAGTTCGTACCTAAGACAGTATATATATTTTTTTTTTCTCTGTTTTTATTTCTTAATTGATTATTTTATTTTAATATTTTTTTTCTACTGAGACTCTATTTTATTTATTTATAAAAATGTTTTTTTTAATATTTGTATATATATTTGTAAATAGATTAGTTATTAAGTATTTGTTTTGTAAATTTTCTTATTAGTGATACTTTTTTTTTTTTCTCTCTTCTTTTTGTATATATTATTATTTAGAGGTATGGATTCTGATAAGAACATTTCTTTTGACGAATCAGATGAAGAGACTCCTTTCTCCGAAATCAGTGAGACTGATTCTCAATATTTAACAAGGCGAACTCTCCAAAAGCGCCATAGAAACTCTGCCCCCGGTTCGGCGGGCAACTCACCTAATAAAAAAAAAAACAAATCCGCTAAAACAAAGCAAGCTCTCAAAGTAAATAAAGAATCAAAAACTAGTAATAATTCAGCTATGAAACCTGACACTAAACCATCAACTAACACATCCAGTAACAATTCTGTTACAGCCAATAATAAAATTAACGAAATCACTGAACCTAGAACTTTCACTGAACCAGTGCCACCTCCGATTTATGTAAGCAAGATTGACAATTTCATTCAGTTCGGTCAAGAAATAGCTAATCTGATCGGACCGACCAACTTTCGGTGTTTTTCTCGAGTCAACGATATAAAGATTAACACCAATACTAAAGATGATTATAAAAAACTTATAAATCATTTGACAGCACTCAATCACGACTTCCACTGCTATCAACTAAAAGAAGACAAAACATATAGAGTGGTTTTGAGAGGTCTTCACTCTACCACACCCACTACCGCTATAAAAAAAGATTTGGAAGATATCGGCCATTCGGTAAGACATATATCTTCTATCTTACATCCTATTGATAAATATCCACTGCCATTATTTTTCATCGATCTAGAACCAGCCCGGAATAATGCAGAAATCTTCGAAGTTAAAAGACTGCTGTATTCTGTTGTAAAATTTGAAGAGCCGAGGCAGAAACCAATAGTCGTTCAATGCACCAAGTGCCAAAACTTAGGGCATACAAAGGCTTACTGCCATCACTCGGTGCGTTGCGTTAAATGCGCCGGGCCTCACGCCTCTAACACCTGCCCGAAACCGTTAAATGAACCACCAAAATGTGCCCTTTGTGGTGAGGACCACCCTGCAACCTATCGGGGCTGCATTATCTATAAGAAGCTATATAAGCAAAGAACTTATAATTTATCATTAAAAGAAGAACAGAAGAATTCTACCCAGGCACAGGTACAGGCACCTGAACTCCTAAATTTGGCAGCGTTTCCTCAACTGCCGAACGAAATAATACCACAATTGACGCACAACCCTTCTACATCAACAGATCATCCCCATCAAGACTCTAGGCATCTATATTCAGACACTACGGTGAAGAATCAACAGCCGCGACGTCAGACGCCTCAGATTTCCAAAACTAAGACTCAGGCTTCCAAACCTAAGATCCAGACCTCCCAATCCAAGACTCAAATCTCCCACATTCATTCAAAATCTCCACGTCAGCAAATGCCTCCTCACCAGATACCTATACGTGTAAAATTACCGCCCGAACATCCAACTCCTGTTTATTCCCACCCTACTGCTCATATTTACTCTCCTTCCCAAGTTCCAAGGGTACATCCTTCATCAGACACTCCTTATCATAAGATCTTTCCCTCACGAACTCCTAATCAAAACCAACCTGACCAACAAAACCCGATCGATTTAATAAACTCCACCCTTGCTTCCTTCCTGAAAGATCTCCAAGAGACTATCAAGCCACTAATTACCCTCCTCACAAGAATCCTTACCGAAATTCCCTTCAATCTCTCACGATGAGCACTAAGCCCCTAGCTGTTCTTTTATGGAATGCTAACGGACTACAAAACCACCGAGACGAACTCGACATTTTTCTTCATGACTATCACATTGATATTGCTCTACTGACAGAAACTCACTTCACTCGACGTTCATATTTCTACATACGTGACTATATCACTTATAGATCAGACCACCCCGACAACACTTCCCATGCCGGTTCTTGCATCCTTATCCATAAATCCTTATCCCATTCTCTCATTCCTTCTACTCCAACGGAGGCTATTCAAGCAACCTCGGTTATCATTTCAACTCGTCCTTTCCATTTAACATTCTCAGCTGTATACTGTCCTCCCGGTCATACTCTTACCTATAACTTACTTGAATCCTTATTTCAATCCTTCGGATCGCGCTTTATTGCTGGAGGAGACTACAATGCTAAACACCAACGATGGGGTTGTCGATCATCCAACTCCCGTGGTAACATACTATCTTCTGTCTCAACTTCCAATAGTTACTCTGTCCTCTCTCCTATGAATCCTACCTATTGGCCAACATCCCTCAAAAAACGCCCTGATATCCTCGACATATTTGTCACCTCCCAAATTTCCTCTTCCCATGTCACAATAAAATCCCTGGATGACCTCTCCTCAGATCATTCTCCAGTTCTGCTTTCATTACACACAACCTTCGCTCCTAAGCCCTCGTCCTCTCCTACACTGATTACAGGACGAGTAAACTGGGACAATTTTCGTAAAGACCTGGAAAATAAATTGGACCTAAATATTCCACTTAAGACGAAACGTGATATTGACACAGCCATAAAAGAACTTACTACATCTATAAGTGACAAAATAAAGAATAATACATCTACCAATAAAACTGACAACTCCCAACAGACAAATTTGCCGCAGCATATTCGTATCTTATTAAGGGAAAAACGCAGAGCAAGATCGAAGTGGCACAGGAC